ACTGACGTGGCCTGATAACTCAGTTGGTTACAACATTGTCCAGATAATCCAAGGTTGTGAGTTCGATCCCCGGTCAGGGTACATACAAGCATCAACCAATGAATGCACAAATAAGTGGAACAACAAAATCAGTTTCTCTATCTCTAAAAAATAAAAACAAATCAATGTTTAAAAAAATTTTTAAAACAACACAGGCAGCAGCAGGTAACAACACATCAGAAGGGTGTCCCGTGGTAGGCAGGACTAGTTCTGTTCTAATCACTACAGCCCAAAGGAACTGCACACCTTTCTTGTTTCCTCCCACTTGCAGAACCGAGGTTTGGATTTCCTATGCCAGTTTCATTTAAATTTCAGCAAAAGCAAAAGGGAGCACACACTTTTTTTTTTAATGATTATTTTATTGCCAAGTGCTCTTTTTAAAAATATATATATTTTATTGATTTTTTTACAGAGAAGGAGAGGGATAGAGAGTTAGAAACATCGATGAGAGAGAGAAATCGATCAGCCGCCCTCTGCACACCCCCCACTGGGGATGTGCCTGCAACCAAGGTACATGCCCCTGACTGGAATTGAACTTGGGACCGACGCTCTATCCACTGAGTCAAACCGGTCTTGGTGGGAGCACACACTTTTATATCTCCTGCTGGGGGTGCCTAAAATTACTGAAGCACTGCACCCAACACCCCCCCACACACACACACACACACACACGCACAAATCTCTAAATTCTAGCCCTTAAATTGTTCTGGTTAGGAGTGACAAAAAAGGAACAACGTTATCGAAACAGAAAAGGAGAATACACATTTCTGCTTTTTCTCCAACACACAGATGAGGTAGTAAATGCTTTCGATGTTTGTGGACGAAGGAGCCACAGACTAAACCTGACTAAATTAAAGCTTGGGAGGCCCGCATGGCAGGCCTTACAAACTCAGAGACTGAAAGTAACCACACACCGCACAGGATGATCTGACATAAAAAAAAAATCCCTAACTAAAAGCGAGTCATGGCCTGTAGCTTCCTTGACAAAGATCAGTATCTACCTTAATTGAGACTGCTGTCTTTTTGCATCTAAGATAACGTATCTTTGAAAAGTCAGAGGGTGCCCACTTTCGCAGCATAGATCCTAAAATTGGACCAATACAGAGAAGATTAGCATGGCCCCTGCGCAAGGATGACGTAAATTCGTTGTGTTCCTTTTTTTTTTTTTTTTTAAATATATTTTGATTTTTTACAGAGAAGAAGAGAGAGGAATAGAGAGCTAGAAACATCAATGAGAATCATCGATCAGCTGCCTCTTGCACACCTCCTATTGGAGATGTGCCCGCAACCAAGATACATGCCCTTGACCAGAATCGAACCTGGGACCTTTCAGCCTGCAAACCGATGCTCTACCACTGAGCCAAACCAGCTTCAGCTCCTTTTTTTTAAAAAAAAAAAAAAAAAAAAAAAAAGAGAAATCTTTTCCAGACATCTCAGGGCACAACCTCTGCACCAGAGCAGGAGACCACAGAACCCCCTTGTTTTCATTTTGTTCATTTTGTTCTATGAACACTGTGTCTGTTTTGTAAATGTTAATTGTTAACTATTCTGTATCCACCAATGTTTAAGAAGTAGGTGTGTCTCTCCGGTTTTCCAGTCTTTATCCAGTCTCAGAGATTTCCCAGCTTTGCTTTCTCCCGCCCCCTTCTAATGTATTAAATAAACTACAAAACTGGGTGCATTTTTCGGAGCATTTTCTCAGTCTGTGGAGGTTTTGCTTTCTGGCAACTGTCATCATTTGGCCCAAACAAACCCATAAAAAATTCTTGGCAGGTTCTTACATCGACACACTGAAGGTGGCTGTGGTAAGGGAAATAAAATCTATAGATAGAATCATTTCCTGGAAAGAAGAGATGCCTGGAGCTAACAGACTCAGCTGAATGAAGATGATGAGAAACCAATTTATTTTTTTACTTTATTATTTTATTATTTTTTTAAATAAATCTTTATTGTTCAGATTATTACAAATGTGATCCTCTTCCCCCCCTCAATTGCTCCCCTTCATCAGGTTCCCACCCCACTCTCTGTCCTTTCCCCATCCCCCATTGTCCTCATCCATAGGTGCACAGTTTTTGTTCAGTGAGAAACCAATTTAGCAGGGCTCTCTCCGGAATTCGGGTGCCACAGTGGTTTCCCCAGGAGCCGTCTCAGTGGTAGCCTCTGTGGCCAGCAGCTTTGGGGAGCAGTAGCCTGTCCCTGTCAGTATTCACTGCGGCCACTCCCACAGCGTCACGGCAGCAAACAGTCACTAGCTTGACAGCTGGGCAAAGTGTGGATGATATTAATGTACTCAACATGGAATGCCAAGGGACTATCGAAGCTTCCAGCAACAAAGGCATCTAGAATTGAATATTATCAGGGGAGGAACCCCACAGATAAGCGCAGGACTAGCCTGGAAACACAGAATGAGGTACGTAATTCCCCTTAAAGGCTCCCAGCCTCAAAAAAGCTCTCCCTATCTTTCCCCAGTATTGCCCTGGAAGAAGTCGCTAAGGCAGATACAACTCTTAACAGGATGCTCTATGTCCTCTGAGTTTGGGTGTGCCCTTGGCATATTTGATACTCTGCATGCAACTATTATACAGATGTAGATGTGAACAAAAAACCATCTCCACCTTTGTGTCCTTTCATGTTATGACCTTTGCTTAAATTCACTGTCCTTAGTAAGCACATCAAAACCTTCTCGTTAACCCTAGCTGGTTTGGCTCAATGGATAGTATGTCGGTCTGCGGGCTGAAGGGTCCTGGGTTCAATTCTGATCAGGGGCACATATCCAGGTTGTGGACTCGATCCCAAGTAGGGGGCATGCAGGAGGCAGCCAATCAATGATTCTCTTTCATCATTGATGTTTCTATCTTTCTCTCCCTGATGCTCTCTTCGGCAGCACATTATATCTCTCTCCCTGTCCCTTCCTCTCTGAAATCAATAAAAACATTTAAAACAAAACAAAGAACCCTTCTAGATAATGAGTATCTGTGTTCCTTAAAATATTTTTGCTAATGACCAGATGACAACAGAAATGAATACCAAACTAATGATAGTATGGACCACCAGGGAATATGGCCCCTAGCATTACTGTATTCTTTGTCCCTTGGTCTTGTCAATCATTAGTACCTACGTTATAATATTTTAAAATGTGCAGTAACAGGAGTCTTTAGCGGAGAACAATTTTAGTGGAAAACTGCTGGGTTGTCTCTTCCACTCTGAAACAATCTTCCCTCAAGGAAATAGATCCTGTGATATTCTATGGAACTGCCTGCTTCGTTCGTCGGTCTTAAGATACCTTCTCCTTACAGTAACCATTGCGTCTTTGCTCCATCATCAGACAACTATTAAGGGACATGGATCTGGCTAAGTGAAAGCCTGCAGCTCAGATTCCAACAACTTTCACTTCCAAAGGAAAAGAAGAGATCCCCCACCCCACCTGAAATGCTTTGAAGGCGGCCAAGGAGCAACAGGGGCTGCTCCGGTTTGCACCAGAGAGAAGTAGCCGCCAGCTGCCAGGGCGTCTGGGGACTCAGAGCCTCCTTCAGAACAGGAGACCCATCCGCTCCCCAGCCACCCAGAGGAAGAGAAAAAAACCTAAATGCCCCAGACTTCACTGCCATGACTCCCCCACCTCCCCAGGGAAGGAGGGGATCAGCATGTGAACTACAGGTTAGTCAATGCCTCTTAACCAAGTCCGGGTCCCTGCCCTTCACAACCGCTGGCTGAATTTTACACTGGTCCTCGGCTAGGAGGCTGCAACCTCCCTCTCTTGTTCCCGTCCCGCGGCGTTTTTTTTAAAAGTCCCGATTTTTGGAAAGAATCTTTTAAATCTTTTGGACTTTTTCAAAACGCCGCGGAACGCGGGACAGATTGTTTTAAAAATCGGGACTGTCCCGCCAAAAGCGGGACGTCTGGTCACCTTACCCTAAAGTGAAAAATCGTCAGAGCGGCAGTTCAACTAAACCCACTCCGGAGCCTCTGAACCAACAAGGCACTTGTGAGGGGTCCGTCGGTGTCGCGCCTTCCCAGTCCCTGCCCGGCCCCGACCGGCCCCCTTGGAATTGAGGCTGAGGCGAGGCTTCAGCCTCGGGAGGAGCCGTGGCCCCGCAGGCGGCCCCGAGACACTGCGACGCGCCCCGGGCGGCGGCGAGGGCGGCCTCGAAGACACGGTGGGGACGGAGGCCTGGGCACGGATCGCGGTGGAAACGGCGGGATTCCCCGAGGGGACCGCGGCGCCCGGGGAGGGTCGCTTCCTTTGTGATGGGCGCCCGGGATCGGCGCGAGGAACCGCATCTCCGACGGCGCCTCATGCAGCACAAGGCGCGGCGCGAACCCTAAGCTAGTCCCGCCCCGCGCTGCGCGCGCCTCCCCAGACGCCGCCTCCCATTGGTCAGTGGGAGAGACTCTGGGCTCGCCTGTTTGAACTGCGCCCAATGGGGGCTCGGGGGCGGGGCGGCGGCCGGGGGGCGGGGCGGGAGCAGGGCGGGAGGCGGAGTCCTGGGGCAGAGGCGCGCGAGCGGCGGCCGGGTAGGATGCCCTCGGCTCGGCTCCCAGATGCGCGGGGCTCGCGGGCAGCACAAAGCCCACTTGGAGCCTCGGTTCCTCTTGCCCGCGGTCGGGCGCGGGGAAGCCGAACTTCGTGTCACCCTTTGCCCCTACAATAACTCTGGGACAGGGTGCCCCCTCCCCAGTGCTGGAGACCCGGTTCCCGGTCTTCGGGAGACAAGGGGAAGGATTCCCCTTTCTAGCGGATTTGCGGGGAAAGCTGCATCCCTTTTCCTCTGACGCCCCAAACCCTCGCGCCCCTTAGCGTTCTCTCCAGCTGTTTAGGAGGACTTTGTGCCAATCCCCCACATCTCCCAAGGATGCAGTGATTTTTTTCGCTGCCTCCCCCCAAAAAAATTGCCAAGGGGGGCTCCGGGAATTCGGGGGGCTCACCCACACTCTGTATGGGCGCCTGGAGCCAGCCTCACCTGCAGGCATCTCCGCGGCGAGGAGCAGGACGGGGAGCCAGCACAGCCTCATGCTCTCCGCAGCGCCCTGGCCCGGGCTGCCGGCCCCTGTTCCGCAGAGTCCGCGCTGCAACCTCGGGCTTCGCACAGCCCGGCGGCGACTGCACGCGGGGCCCCAGTCATTTGCAGCATTTCAATGTGAGGTTTCTCCTAGGGGGAGGAGTTTGCAGTGGGGTGATTTTCAAATATCTTCACCTCGCGGGCGAGAGGAGGAGTTTGAGCCGCTGATGTGACATAGCCCCTTAACCCCTTTAGGCCTGACTGGGATTCCAGCGCCGCTCCCGGCCGACCGGCCCCTCGCTTTGTGGGATTTAGGTAGCGCGTGAAGATCGAGGCCTCCCCAAACTGGAAATGCGTCTCCTGCAACATTTCCTTTAAATGTCCACCAACTCATTGCTACGTTTTTCTTTAGTGTTCCAAGATTAATTGTCTGTCCTTCCAAAAAGGTCTCATTGGCGAGTGACAATCTCCCCTCTGTCTCGAACCGGAAAAACTGGGTGTTGGAAAATTTCCCCCCTCTTTCCTCTACTTCCCTTTTCCTTTCTAGGAACTGTATGCAGGTTTTAGCCGAGTTTAGTTCTGTATAGTTTTTAGATGGTTATTCCAAATCGCAGCATAAACAGTAATCAAGGAGGCCTTTACATAAAATCCTTACAACCTGCACCGGATTTCTGTCTTGTGGGATTCAGCACTTGGATGAATTATGAGCAAAAACATCTCTAAAGCAGCTGACCCAAAACCTGGAGCCTGGATATAAATATTGATTTATCCTTTTAGGAGAAAGAGATGAACAAAAAGCCACTTCCTCTCCCCAAAGAAAAATCAAAACGAAGTGGGGTTTTCAGCGCCGAACGTGACTGCCTAGCCACGGAGGGCTGAGGGAGAGCAGCTTTTAGAATCAGAAGGCTCTTCGGGGATTTGTGCAGTTGCCAGGGGCCCCTGGCCAAAAAGGCTCACACAGCGTCTGGCAGTCTTGGAGTGTTCCCCCAAGAATGAGTGGAGTTCTCTGGGGTTTACAAACGGAGCTTGGCAGGGCACACTGATGGGAAACCCATGAGAGAAAGCAGAAAAGAGCCAGCGCCCTGCCCTGGTTGGGTAGCTCAGAGTTGGTTAGAGCATCGGCCCAATATGCCACGGTTGCAGGTTTGATTGTGGTCAAGGCACATGAGGGAATCAACCCACCATTGCATAAATAAATGGAACAACAGGTGGATATGTCTCTCTCTGTCCCCTCTGTAATCTCAATAAACAAAAATTAAAAAGAAAATAGGCAGAAGGGGACAATCAAGCGTTCAGAAAGAAAAATGGTGATTAATATAAAGGATGAGATTTATAAGCAGAAGGGTAGTTAAGAGCCCCAACTCTGGAATCAGTCAACTTTGGGTGAGTGAAACAGCTTTCACAATCTGGAAAGGGGAGAAAACAATGCCCTCTTCCCTTACTTGGCAGGCTCAGTGTCAGGGTCAGATGAGTTAATTAGCAATCACCTGGGCAAATTTACAAGGATGGGCAAGTTCTGGGAGTTGTTGCAACATTTGTGAGTGTGCCACCATGAAATTCCACTCCTTGTACCTTATGCTCCATTTCTTTTTTTCAACCAATTAGGATCCTAAGTTTGGTTTCCCTTCAGAAAAATGATAAGACACAACACACTGTGTTTCTGTGAGGAGCCCAGCTTTTCCTTAACCTTCTGATGGTAGGAGGCCCTTCTCAGCAGGCCTGGGAGAGTGACCAGGAACAGGCTCTCTTCCGAAAAGGAACTTAGCTCTAGGTCTCCTTAGATGCGAGGGCAGGCCTGGAAAAAGACCAAAAAAGCTCTGAAAAGAACATTCCTGGGGTGCAAGGTTCCAGGACAGCTCCCCCCGAGTCTCCCTTGGACCTGCCTGCGGAAATCACCAGGCCCCTTCTGTTCCATGCCCCGAGGACACGATCATGCTGATTCATTTTTCTACTACTTCTTGGAGTCTCCATTGCTCTTCTGCAACTAGCTCAGAGGGTTGTTGTATTTGGCAAATTCATATAAACTTGCCATAATAAACATCACAAATGGGCTTACTTTTTTATATTTTATTTTTGGGCTATCTTTGTGTGGTGTGGCAACAGCATCTTTTTTTCTTCTCTTCGGGGAAGACTTTCTTTCTCCTAGGCACTTAAAAGTCATCTTTCTGGCCCTAGCTGGTTTGGCTCAGTGGATAGAGCATCAGCCTCTGGACTGGAGGGTCCCAGGTTCTATTCCAGTCAAGGGTACATGCCCAGGTTGTGGGTTCGATCCCCAGTAGGGGGCACGCAGGAGGCAGCCAATCAATGATATTTCTCTCTCCCTTTCTCTCTGAAATTATATATATATATATATATATATATATATATATATATATATATATATATATATATATTTTTTTTTTTTAAGTTACCTTTCCATGGAGACACTTCATTTGAAAGTTCCTGGTTGCAAAGTAATCTAAGACAACCCAGGTAAGGCTGTTTCCGCATTCTAACGGGTACTCGGCTTGTCCTGGTTTTCACCTCTAATTCACCAGGCGGCTTGGACTACAGTAGTCTCCACCCGAGGAAGTCTGGCCTTTGGTAGAAGTGAGCCATGGCGGATGGTCTGGCCTTTGGTCCAGCAGACAGCAGGGAAAGGATGAGTAGCTGCAGGTGCTTGGCGCTTTCCAGTAAGTTCGATTAAGGACCTCCTTGACTTGGTTGTCGTCAATTATCTCAATTATAAAACACCCATTACATTAGCCACGTGAGGGCAGAAACCATGGCTTCTATCTCCAGCGCCTGCCTGCAGCAATAGTCAAATAAGTGAAAATAAGAGAAAGTATCATGGGTGTGATTGCAACATGAGAGATGTGCTGTTTCTTAATTCCACTTTTCTTGGGATTTTGATCATTTGGAATTAAATTTTTGTCCGGGGCTGTCAGTCCTTCCAGACTCAAGAACAAGCATGCATTGAGAACATGGCGAGAGCCCTGAGCTGGTGGTCAGGGAAGATGCAAGCCTGGTCCTCAAGGAACTCAGAAGCGAGAACCCGGCAGGATGTGTCCACGGACACAGGTCCACGCAGTGCCAGAGGATGCAGAGGCCACTTCTAGGTTGAAAAAATATACATTTGCCTTTAGTTCACATAATGAAAACAATCTCATGTTTCAAAAGTAAAACAGTTTTTTGGTTTTTTTTGGAACTCAGCTCCGGAGATTTGTTTTATTCTGTCACAGCTGTGTAGCCATCACTTGGAGCAGGTCAGAGACTATCAGCAGCATCCCTCACACTAGGGCCGTAGGTAGTGGGAAGGAAAGGAGGGCTCTGAGGATGGAGAGATTTAAGGGAAGACCTGGCTGAGGGCAGGGCATTGTGGACAGAGGAAGAGCAGGTAAAAGAGAAGGATGCCCACTTTCTTTCTTTCTTTCTTTCTTTTTTTTTAAATATATTTTATTGATTTTGTACAGAGAGGAAGGGAGAGAGATAGAGAGTTAGAAACATCGATGAGAGAGAGTCATCGACAGCTGCCTCTTGCACACCCCCTACCGGGGTTATACCTGCAACCAAGGTACATGCCCTTGACCGGAATCGAACCCGGGACCTTCCCCAAGCCGACGCTCTATCAATTGAGCCAAACCGGTCTCGGCAAGGATGCCCACTTTCATCACTTCGAATTAATAGCATAGGACTGGAAGTTCTAGATACCATAATTAGGTAAGAAAAAGAAATAAAAGGCACCCAAGTATGTAAGGAAGAGGTAGAAAAGAAGTAGGTGTTTTTTGCATAGAAAACCCTGAATACACACACACACACACACACACACACACACACCCCTATTAGAACAAATACATAAATTCAGCAAAGTTGTAAAACAACATGCAAGAAAACAAAAACCAGTTGCATATCACACACTAGCAAAAAACAATCCGAAAAAAAAACTAAGAAAAAATTTCAATTATGATAGCATGATAATTTTTACCTTTACCTTTTTCTTCTTCCTCCTCTTTTTTTTTTTAAAAATATATTTTATTGAATTTCTACAGAGAGGAAGAGAGAGGAATAGAGAGTTAGAAACATCAATGTGAGAGAATCATCGACCAGCTGCCTCTTGCACACCCCCTACTGGGGGTGTGCCTGCAACCAAGGTACATGCCCTTGATAGGAATCAAACCCGGGACCCTTCAGTCTGCAGCCTGACGCTCTATCCACTGAGCCAAACCGGTTTTGGCTTCCTCCTCGGCTTCCTCCTCCTCTTAAAGCGTGGGGGTGGGGTGTGGAATGGCAGGAGGTGGAAATACAATTGGGATGGAACCAGAGGCCTTGGCATGCCCTTGCGTGAAAGAAAGGATCTTAGGAGAAGGGAGAAGCCTCGGAGGTCATTCAGGCTGGGAATGGAAGGATCAGAGTGGTCCGCAGGGCAGATGACTCACTAATTAGGTGGTGGGAAGGGGTAGAGTGACAGGAGGCCTGGGCAAGAGGTGAGGGAAAGCAGGAAAGAGGGGGAAGTTCACACATCTTAGCTTCTCCTTCACATCAAACTCTCAGCTGGTTCTTCATCCACATAAACCCTGAAATGACAAGTTCAGTCATTAGGGGTCCTCGCTTTGTCATTGTTTAGCGGGAGGGGAAGTCCGGCCGGAAGTGGGAAGAGTCAGCCCTCCATCTCCATGGATGCAGCTCTGTGACCTTGGACACATCACTTCTCCTTTCTGGGCCTCTCTTTTCTCCTATTTATCCCTCATCCAACCAGCCTGTCCTGAGTCTCTATTCTGATTCCAGAAACGTTCTAGGTGCTGAGGACACAGCAGAAACAAGACACAGATCCCTCCCCTCGGGGCCCATGGTCCTCCAGTGGGGAGACAGGCAGGAAACAAATCGGCAAGACTATTTCAGGTAACCAAACACGTGATGAGGTGAAGAGCGGTTTGTGTGTGAGAGAATTTTTATTACTTTTTAACTGAGATGTAACTGACATCCAATAAAGTGTCCTCGCCTCAGGAACTCAGCTCCGGAGATTTGTTTTATTCTGTCACAGCTGTGTAGCCATCACTTGGAGCAGGTCAGAGACTATCAGCAGCATCCCTCACACTAGGGCCGTAGGTAGTGGGAAGGAAAGGAGGGCTCTGAGGATGGAGAGATTTAAGGGAAGACCTGGCTGAGGGCAG